CGCCCCTCCCTGCGCCTGCGCAGTGCGAGCGACTCCGCTTTCCCGCCCGCTGAGGAGGCGCCGGGTGAGGGGCTGTGGGATCGGGGTGGCGGGGGGGGTTCAACCGCCGGTGGGGGGATGCGCGGGAGCCCTGAGGTGACAGCGGGGCCCCGCCGTGAGGAGGTGGCCCTGTGGGGAAGGGTGGGCCCGGCCTCCCCCCCCCGCCTCTCCGGCGGAGGTCGGGGCCGAGGCGTGGGGCAGGCCCATGGGGCAGGCCTCGGGACCGGAGAGGTTCCCCCAGCTCCTGGGGGGGGTGGGCGGCGCACCGCCCTGTCACGGCGTGGTTCCGGCGCGGTTCCGGCGCTTACTGGGTTTTGCTTCTCAGTTAAAGGATGAAAGGTAGGAAGGAGCCGTTTTTTGTGAAATTCGTAAAGTCTTCTGGCAACTCGGAGTATTTCTTTAAAGCTCTTGAGGTAAGTAGGTCTGATCGCCTTTCTTGGTGAGCGCGGTGAATTATCTCATTAAATTGTTTCAGTAGTTGACTTAGATGTCACCACTTCTGTGCATGCACCTGGGAATAAAGCTATTTCTGTAATAGAGGTGTTTACTGTCTAATAAAGTTTGTTGAACGAGAACAATTTTGTTGAAGAAGTTACTTCTTGAACAAGAAATAATTTCAAAACCTGTTGACATGTAGTGAAGTGACACTTAGCTTGCAAGGTCTGGGTGGTGGTCACTCATCTAAGCACTAGCAAACTTATGAAGGACGCTCTGGATTGTTGTCTACCTTGAGAGGTTAGTGGGAGCTAAAGGTGGTGTGTGACAGGATCAGCTCTTCAGAGTTTTTATGATGAGTGTTTAAATCTGAGTATTGTGAAGACTTGAGGGAATAAAAGGGGACACCCATGAGGTATTTTAGCCCATTCTTCCAGTGTACTCTTGTGCAGCAGCTTTATTGTGAGCTGTTTCAAATAGATGTACTTGTGTCATTTCCACAGGATCAGCTGTCTGTGATTTGTTCAATAAATGTTGTTTTATGCACTGTTTATCTGCAGTCTATAAAAGAATTCCAGTCAGAAGAACATCTCCAGATCCTTGAAGAAGAAACTGCACTCAATATAAAAGAAAATGATAAGTCGCTTTACATTTGTGATCCTTTTAGAGGTGGTGTTTTCAATCATCTTAAAAAGGTATGCTATCCATCAGCTTGCTTCTAGCTGTATTCTTTCTTTCCTAGAAGTGCTAATGTCTATACTTACACTCTGTATGTTCTCACTTTCTGCCCAAAGTATGGCAGTATGAAGCATTTACAATTTTTCTTTAAGACTTCACTGTATCCTATATTCAGGGAAGAAGATGACTAGCAAGGCATAAGGATTATTTTGAAGGACAGGGAAAAATAAATAGTATGATCAGTTCTGATTCTGCTGGAGTTGCTAAGCTGGGTTTCACACTTTTTTACCTCCTGAGTAACATGATTTTGTGTGATCCGCAAGGAATTGTCCAGCAGACAAAGACAGGCTTGCTGGAATTCTCTGGCCTGTTAGCTGTAGCATCTGGTGCTTGTACTGAGGCCAGAAAATCTACAAGGATTGTACTGAAAAACTACAGCTGAAAGTAAAAACAAAGCTCAACTACCTGGGGGTGCTAGAGGAGGAGGAGGTCAGACCAAGGGCCCTGCCTTCCTCAGGATTCAGCCTTCCTTATACCAGTGTACCTTCTTCTAATTTTCCATGGGGTGTTTTTCTGTTATTTTATTGCAGCTTGGTTGTAGAATTGTCGGACCACAGGTAGTCCTGTACTGCATGCAGTCCCAGCGATGTGTCCCGAGAGCTGAGCATCCTGTGTACAATATGACCATGGCCGATGTAACAGTATCCTGTACCAGCCTTGAAAAAGATGTTAGGGTAATGCATTGTACATAACGGATTGTTTAGCTGATTATCATTGACTTTTGTTTCAGATGGCTCATTACTAAGGCCACAGATACACTATATATAAGTCTAACCATGCCTGTGCTTAGATAGACCTAGTCTTTCAATGTATGTATAGCTTATGGAGAGTTGTATGGAGAAAGAGAGAGTCTTACAAGTGTATGTAGTATGTAAATGTGTATGTAGTGGTGTATCTTTGTATGCACATGTGTATATTAGATATAAGATTTCAGCTGCATTAATATGGGAGTAAATGTATGTTTTAGGGATTTTTTTATTTATTAAGTGATTAGACATCACTTAGCTTACTAGTTTGTCTGCAGCTATAATGCTACAGAGAGCATGTGCTGTTTATGGTTGCTCAAAACTGTATAGTAAAGGTTTAATATTCAGTCAGCTATGGTTTAAATAGTTTATCTTAGAAGTTTACTTTTTATTTATTCTGACCTCTCTTTCTAATTTATGCTACCTAAAATACCAACCATCTGTAAAATTTTACTCATACAATATAGTTGTAGTATTTTATGAAGGATACATATTATGTTCAGCTTATCATAAATGCAAATAAAATAGAAATTATATTTGATGTTTTTATGGCTTCCATGTGTATCCATTTTGTATTTTTGAGCAGTTTTTTAGGAGAAACTGTGGACAATTGAAATCCATGGTTTTGTTTTTTAAGGTGAGTGTGATGTGGGTTCTTTCTTTTTTTTTCATAATTTTGTATATTTTTTTTTCCCCACCAGGAAGAAATTCATAAATATGTGCAGATGATGGGTGGATGTGTGTACAGAGACCTCAATGTGTCAGTAACTCATCTTATAGCTGGAGAAGTCGGCAGCAAGAAATACTTAGTAGCTGCATCTCTGAAAAAACCTATTTTGCTTCCCTCTTGGGTTAAGACGCTGTGGAATAAGTCTCAGCAAAGGTATAAAAAAAAAAACTAAACCAAACCTGATTTTGTTTTGGGGACGGGTAATTCTTATGGCGATACAGACTACTTTCTTTTTCTGCTTGATTTTACTTGAAGAAAAAATTAATTTATTTCTTTTTTCCTCTCTTTTGTTTCTTTAGCATAATGAGATACACTGATGTTAACATGGAAGACTACGCTTGTCCCGTGTTCCTCGGCTGTACGATTTGTGTTACGGGCTTAAGCAGCTCAGACAGAAGAGAAGTCCAGCGCCTCACTGCTGAGCACGGTGGGCAGTACACGGGGCAGCTGAAGATGAATGAGTGTACTCACCTCATCGTTCAGGAGCCAAAAGGTAGAACTTACAGAGTGAATATGATTTTCAGTTCTTGAGTTGAACTAGTGTAAATAAGCGTAAGCGTAAGATTTTGAACTGTCTCTTTGTGTCTGCTTCAGTGTTGCTGTTACTACTTCTGTTTAGGGAATTGCTGTTGATAATAAGAGTAACACAGGGCACCCTTACTTTGCTTTAAAGGCATGAGAAAGAGAACAAAAGAGGGAAAAAACTGAGACACAGATGGTATTTAAAAGAAGAAAAATGGATAACCTGTTTAGAAAGG